TAATATTAAATATTACGAATTACTTAATGTTTAATTGTAAATTAATTTAATTAAACAATAAATATATATTAATTTTAATATGAGCTGAATTCAAGATATTTTTTTTTATTTTTTCAGGGTTGATTACCGACGCGATTCTCGTCGGCAAGTAGGAAAACAGTAATAAAAAATGGTGCCTGAAAAAATTGGCGCCAAAAATTTTGGGGATAAGCTGAATTCAACATATATATATATATATTTTTTTTTTCAGGGTTGATTACCAACGTGACTCTCGTCGATAACTAGGAAAATAGAAATCAAAAATCGCGCCTGAAAAAATTGGCGCCTAAAATTTTGGAGATGATTTCAACCTGCAGCGAAGATCTTCCCAGTCAGACGTGGCTCTTGTCGGTGATTTAGTAACAGGGCCAACCATTCCCGCTGCATTGGCAGACGTGATGTTCGTCGGTGATTAGTGCAGGGCTCGAGGCCCCCCTTATGTGCAGACGTTATTCTTGTCGGTAATTTACTGACGTGGAACCAGAGATGTTTTCCGGTTAACTGTTTTGGCTCCCTATTTTCAAGATGTTTTTTGTCGGTAATTGTGAGTGCGTTTACCGACTTGATTTTTATCTACGTCGGTGATTTAATTACCGAGTCGGGCTTCACCGAGGCAGCCATTACCGACGTGATGCAAATGGGTAGTTTGTTTCACCGACCAGATTCCCTCTTTCTCCGACATGGTTTATCGTCAGTGATACAGTGAATTCTTGTAGTGTAAGTCATATGTTAATGATGTAATTAATTTACCTTTTAATCATAAGCTATATAAAAAAAATAAAATATGACTTTAATTTTAATAACTAATTACTTAAATTAATATACGTGAAATTAATGTTAATTAAAATTAATATCAATTAATTTTATATTAGATGCAAGTCTAATATTGAAATTCATATGCACAATTTTTTTTAAACCCAAGAATTGAATCCATTACTAAATAAGTGTTGTCTTGTAAATTAAGTCTAAAGTTTAAGTTTTTAAGTTAGTACCATAGGAAATTAATTTCTTAAAATGTACTAAACCAATGTGCAGGCCTATCTTTAAGATTAGTGGAGAAGGGATTAGTTTAGAGGTGCATGAAAGCTGATTCAAGGGTATCATAATTGTTAATATAAAAAAAAACTAATATCAATTTTTTTTCATTTTTTATGTAATTCAATGATTAAAAAATATATTAATTACTAATGATTTAAATAATTTAATGATAATTTTTTTTACTAAAAGTAAGAGTTCGAGTTGTAATACGGATGATGTAAAATAAAAAATGAGAGAAAATTATCTTATGTTATACACAATCAATATAAAAAAAAGTTATATTAATTATATTCTTCTTCATATGTGCCAAAAGAACATAGATTAAAAAAAATCGTTTGGTTAATAATGTGCTCTCTTGTTGATTGAATATATTTAAACTACATGTGGGATAAAAAAGTGCATAGAGAAAAGAAAAGAGCATAATATTTTGCTATGTAAAAGGTTTTGCCAATTTGAGGATTAGGCTGCACGACGGAACATGACGGTACTAAGAATTGTTATTTGGGCTGATGTGTTATAAAAATGGGTACCTCGCACTAAAAAATGAGATTAAAAATAATTATTTTAATAAAAAGTTTAACACTTAACTGTGAAATGGACGACGTTACTATAATGTTAGAATTGGTGTGAATCGAAGGATGACAATATAACGCTTTTCCAAAGTAGAGGGACGGCAACAGTAAACTTTTGAAGAGTAGAGGGGCGAAAATGAACTATTTTGGTGTACAGGGATGACAATGAACGAAAATGCATAGAACAAGGACTATAATTGGCTTCAACCTTTTTGGGAAAATGCTTGAGACAAATTTTTTGTATTATTTTTTTATAATTTTAAAAACTATTTATTTAATAATTGACACTTTTTTCATAATAATATATATCGATTTAGGATTAAAATCTTCCAACTGACACATGTTTTTTTATTGGGCCACGTAAGCTTACTATTTGGTATGAAATGATTACGCCTCCTAAACCAACATAACGTGGCCCAATGAAAATGGATGTGTTGGTTGGAGAGTGCAAAAATGACGAGTGTTCCTACCATTGCTCTTGTAATTAAATTATCACTAGTGGACATGGATTACAGCTGTACAAAGACCCGAAGTACGGAAAGCTGTCCTCAGTACG